CAACAACAATAAATAATTTAAAAAACAAGGTAAACAGACCCAGAGAGGCTAGGTAACATAGAGGGCCCAAGGAGAGATAAAAGGATTTCCTTGGGAAGGGGAAATTGAAGAGATCTTGTGGGTGGTCTGGGTGGTGGGGATGGGAATATGGGGGATCTCTTTGAGGGATGGATGGAGGGGGAGAGTACTGAAAGAGATGACGAGGAGGGGGAGGCATTTCAGGGTCAGGTAGAAACCTGGTACAAGGGAAATTCCCAGGAGTCTACAGGAATGACCCCAGCTAAGGCTCCTAGCAACAGGAGATACAGAGCCTGAATTGGCCATCTGCTGTGACCAGGCAAGACTTCCAGTGGAGGGATTGGGAGCACCAACCCAGTCACATAACCTTCGACCTGTGGTCTGCCTTGCCTATGTGATCTGCTGTGATAAGGGTAGCACAGAGATTGTGGGAGTGGCCAACTAATGGCTGGTCTAGCCTGAGACCCATGCCATTAGAGTGTGCCCACCCCGTCACTGCCTGGAGCACCAAGACCCAAAGGCTGTATAGCCCATAGACCTAGGATAGAACCAAACACAACTGGGGGAGGGGGTCAATGTAATGATTACCTAATGATGTTCTGCGGTGCTCATAGATTGGTAACTACCCCAATTGTCGTCAGAGAGCCTTCATCCAGGAACTGATGGAAACAGATGCAGAAACCCACAGCCAAGCACTAGGCCAAGCTGGGGGAAAGACTGTAGGAGTCAGAGGGGTCAAGAACATCAAAGAAGACCCTCAGAATCAACTAACCTGGGCTCATAGGAGCTCACAGAGAGTGTACCAACAACCAGGAAGCCTTCATGGGACCCACCTAGACCCGCTACATATCATATATGTGACAGTTGTGTAGCTTGGTCTATTTGTGGGACTCCTAACAGTGGGAGAGGTGGCTGAAAGGTTCAGGCTTTAATGCTGATCGGCTCCACCCTCATCTTATAATCTTCCCCTCAAGTGACAGGACCTAAGAAAAAAATTTTTTCTAAACTTAACCTTGTCCTCTGCTGCCAACATCTTGCCAGGTCTAAGAGGCACCAGGGAGTTCCATACAGCCTGGATTGCAATGAAACAACCAGCTACCCCAGGACGTGGCAGCACCCCAACCTTCTCAGGTTCCCCAAAGATAGTCAATGCCTCCCACATCAGCAAGAAGCAGTCTTGAGAATTCAACGCCTTTATTCCTTAACCTGCCATGTCTAACACCCCACCTTTTTAAATAATAAGTAGAGCTGGGAATGAAAGGTTCAGGCTTTAATGCTGATCGGCTCTACCTCTTTAAGAGACAGACCCCGTCCCCTGAAAACAGTCAGGGCACGCACAGGGATGTGCCATTACCACATCACCCACCACGCATTTACAGCCTGCGTGAGGACTCTGGGCATGTGTGGAACCTCAGTGTGCATTCGCAGTCTTCCCTTTAATAGTTCCAACTTCCCTGCTTCGCGCGCTCTCTCTCTCTGCTTCTTCGCTCTCTCTGTTTGCTTCTGCGTCTCTTCTCTCTCTCTCTATGGCGACTGGCCATGGCAGTCAGCCATTAGCTCTCTTAGTCTCCCTTCTCTTAGTTTCTCTTCTCTCTTAGTCTCCCTACTCTACCAGGCCTTAGAATAAACTGGTTAATATGTCTCATCTTGCGCCAGTCTCCTCTTTTTCTTTATATCTGATTTAAACAAAGATCTAACAGTGGCTGTCCCTAACACTTTGACTGGCTTGTGGGACCCTACTTCTCATCCTGGACTGCCTTGCCCAGCCTTAATACAAGGGGAGGTTCTTAGTCTCACTGCAACTTGATATTGCCATGTTGTTGATACCCATGGGAGGCCTGCTCTTTCCTGAACAGAAACAGAAGTGGGGGGTGAGGGGGCTGCTAGGGTAGGGAATGGGAGGAGAGGGGGAGGGGAAACTTCAGTCAGGATGTAAAATACATTTACAAAAACAGAAACAAAACAAGGTAATAAACTCCTAGACCCATCTTAAAAAACAAGATGGATGGCCCCTGAGAAGTGACATCTGACGAGGATCTGTGGCCTGCAAATGCACTCACCCAGAAAGGAAAACAGGGAGAAGAAAGGCCTTGGGGAACAACTCCAAGGAGGGCAGCAGAGGGGCAGCTTTGTAAGAAAGGGCTGGGGAGGCCAGCAGGGAGGACCAGGTGGGTGGGGACGAACAAAATGGCTCCCTAATGGTGTGGCAGTTTGAATATATTTGCTTAGTCAGCAGAGAGTGGCACTATTTGAAAGCCTTTGAAGGATGAAAAGGTGTGGCCTTCATGAACCCTAGACTGAAACTCAAATCTAACTAAGCATTAATCTCCCAGTAGCCAAACTGTTCTCAAGTTCCATGCTCACTCTAAAAATGAGTGAGCTGTTGGTGGACACAACCCAGGGCCATAGACATTTTTGAGAATTCAGGGGCACAGATCAAAAGGACATGCAGACTGAGCTGTGTAGGGAGTACTTCTTGTAATTCACCTTTATGACTGTTAATTATAGATAACTTACACTGTTAAGTTTTAATCCTCGTTAGACTAAAAGGGGAATTGTAGGGGGGAATCCTGGCCACGCCCGCTTGGGGCTGGTCACAGGTGCCCTAGCCATGTCCACTTGGTTAACCAGGGTTTAAGAGGGACGGAGGGTTAGAACGAAGGTCTCTTTTTCCCTCTCCCGCCTGGCTGAGCGGGCTGAGCGGACGAGCAGGCATCCAGTGTAAACCTGGTCACTGGCTCCGTTGTGTGAGTACTTTCTGCTGACCCTAATACTGGTGTGAGTTTGGCTGTTGTCTTATCCATTGTCCATTTATTCACCCACTCATTCACTTCCACAATGAATATTCTGAACACTTATTCTCTGGCCACTATGGTAGAGACTGAGGATGGAAAACAGAATGATGTAACTTTTTTTTTTTTTTTTTTTTTTTGGTTTTTCGAGACAGGGTTTCTCTGTGTAGTTTTGGAGCCTATCCTGGCACTCGCTCTGGAGACCAGGCTGGCCTCGAACTCACAGAGATCTGCCTGCCTCTGCCTCCCGAGTGCTGGGATTAAAGGCATGCGCCACCAACACCAGGCTCAGAATGACGTAACTTTTAAAAAAAAAAAAAAGAGGTGTGTCCATATTGGAGGAAGTGAATCACTGGGCATGGACCTTGAGGTTTCAAAAGCCCACAAGTCCAGAGTCTGTCTCTCTGACTATCTCTCTGTCTGTCTCTCTCTCTACCTATGGATCAGGATATAGCTCTCAGCTATTTCTCCATGCCTAGCTGCTGTTATGCTCCCTGCCATGAAGATATGAAGATAATGAACTATACCTCTGAAACTGTAAGCAAGCCCCCAATGAAATGCTTTTCTTTATTAGACGTGCCTTGGTCATGGTGTGTCTTCACAGAAATAGAACAGTGACTGAGACAGGAGCATGCGGAAGTTAAGTCTAGCTCATCTGTACCAGTAAGGAGGGAGATGTGTAGCTGTAGGGGGGATGGCCCTATAGAGTCAACAAAGATAACAAAAGGAGTCTCTGGCACTGAGGGCCATCAAGAAGCTACCAAGCTTTCCTGGACTCAGTTCAATAGGTCTTGGGACATCTCCAGGTGGCTGGGTTCTGTTTCTGCCACCAGAGTGAATTGAGGAGGACTAAATGACCTGACCAGTCATGGCAGGGATAGTCATAAATGGGCAGGAGTAGTCAGAGGCAGTACTCTTTCTCAGTGGGTGCCATGAAGTATGTTATGGTGCAATTGGAGGCTAGTGATGGGCAGAGTTGGATATCAGAAGAACTGGAGGTGATGGGGAGCTGCTGGTGTGGTTCCAAAAAGAACTGAGCCCCCAGGTGGGTAATAAAGAAGATCAGGTCTAAATAGGAAGCAGTAAACCCAGGGAAAAGGCACTGTGGTTGTGAGTGACAGCTTGGGGGTGGGGCACAGAGTGCTGCAACTAACTACATCCATGTTTCTGTTTCCAGTGCTCAGTTCAGCCCACACCGGAGACAGCGAAGGACAAAGGGACCAAGACGCATGAGGCACCTGGGCCAAACCAGACTGAGAAAAAAACTGGCAGGCCAGTAGGCCTTACTGTTCCTTAGGACTCCCTCTAGCAGATACCATGGTGTCGGGAACAGTGCAGGGGATACATGTGTTCACGCTGTCACTCGCACGGGACAGGATTTGGATGCTCGGTCATATGGTTAAGCCCACTTACGTCACTTCAGCTGGATCATTTTCAAACACTTTGCTATTCTAATGTGGCCCTATACCGAGGCCATTTTGTACAAATCATCTCTAGCTTTTTTCAAACGTGTGAATGTAGTATGTTAGTGTATGTGCACATATACCAATGTGTGCAGGCTCCTGGAGGCCAGAAGAGGCCGGTAGGGGTTCTGCTCTATCACATATCCCCTATTCCTTTGAGGAGGCAGGGTCGCTTGCTGACTATGGCCCTAGGCTGGCGTCCAGAAAGCCTCAGTGATCCTCCTGCCTGTGCCTCGCACAGCTTTCATTCGGGTGTTGGCATCTGACTCAGGCCCTTGTGCTTGGGCAGGAAGCATGCTACTCCCGAGCCAACTGTCCCTGTTCTAGAGGCTTTTCAAGATGATTTTTCTCTCTCTAGAAGCAATGAGGAACAAGCCAGAGCACCTAGGGAGGACCGATTCTAACTGTGCCCTTCAGCTCACCCTCTAGGCTGCCCTCCAACTTCCTATTTGTGTTTTGTGATATATATTTCTTCCAACTCTGTTTTTTCAGGCAGTCTGTTTTCTATTTACAGTGCCCATTGATAGCAGGTAATTTCTTGGTTGGTTTTTGTTTTGGGTTGTTTTTGAGACAGGGCCTCATGGTTGTGCTTGAACACTCCTGATCCTTCTGCCTCCGCCTCCCTAGTGCTGTGTTACAGGTATGTAACATCACACCTGCTAGTATCAGGTATTTTAATATGCCTTTCCAAATTACGGTCCCGCAAAGGATAACGTATGACACTTACCTCCAAATATTGTCTTTGGGCAACCGGGTTGATCCAGTCCTCCATTTGGGTAGAAGTCTATGCTTCCTAGTGGTTCCTTGTAGCCCAGTGCTAAAAGAGAACACACAAGGCTTGCACAGGGAACTTCCACATCTGCAGGGTTAGGCAGGGACTGTGTTTTTTATTTTTTATTTTTTAGATTTATTTACTTATCATGTATACAGTGTTCTGACTCCATGTATGCCTGCAGTCCAGAAAAGGGCACCAGATCTCATTACGGATGTCTGTGAGCCAACATGTGGTTGCTGGGAAATGAACTCAGGACCTCTGGAAGAGCAGTCAGTACTCTTAACCTCTGAGCCATCTCTCCGGCCCCGTGTTTTTGGTTGTTATCATGGCCCTTATACCTATTTAAAGGTCTTGCCTAAAGCTCTCAGCTAGTTTGTTAGAAAGCAGCAAGCAAATTGCATTAGCATGTACGTCAGTGCTGGGTGAGCACAATGTGGTGTAGGAACGGAATCCCACTGTTTCTAAAGACAGACTCTGGGCACTTGGCCCCTGCAGGGCTGATTGGATGGCCTCTTTCTTCTTTACATTTCATCAGAGCCCTCTAATTGCCAGGAGATTCCTGAACTTCTGTTTGCATTGTATAAATCTTCACAAAATGAAATATGAAACATTTAATTTTTACTTAGTAGAGAAAAATCTTAGAGGATGGCTCAGTGGTTAAGAGCACTGGCTGCTCTTGCAAAGCAGCTGGGCTGGGTTCCTAGCACCCACTGCCTCCAGTGGGTGTACTGTAACTCCAGTCTCAGGGGATCTGATACCCTCTTCTGGCCTCTTTGGGCACCAGACACACACATGGTACACAGACATACTTGTAGTCAAAACACCCATAAGCATAAAAATAAAAGAACAAAACTTAAATTTTTGTACCTAAGCCAGGTATGGTGGCTCACACTTGTAATACCAGCACTTAGGAGGCTTCGGCAGGGGGATTGCTATGTCCTTGGAGCCAGCTTGGGCTAAAGAGTAAGAACCTACTTCAAACAGACTGGGATCTAGGATGATAAAAAAGATTGGAAATACTTTTAAAAATGGGTACCTAGAAATGTAATAACTTCATTTTCTCTAGCCATGAAAACCCCAAAATAATTAGAAAAGGTTTTCTTAAAATGTTAACACAGAAGCGTGTGTGGTGGTGCACACTTGTAATCAAGGAACCACAGGGATGAGACAAAAAGTTTGACAGTTTATAGCCAGCCTGGGCTGCACAAGGGCAGGCCAACCTGGGATATACAGCAGGAGTCTCAGAAAAAAAAGTAAAAGTAAATGTTTACATATACATATCTAAATGCAGGTGTTATATGCAGCATATTGCAGTAATCATAGTAGTTTTCACATGTTGAGACTCTGTGTGTCAGCTGGGCATCCCACACACCCTTCCCATTCTCATAAGGCCTGCAGCACGGCTGCGGGGAAGTCAGGAAGCAACTCAGATGAAGGGCAGAGGCTGGTAGGCTTCAGGGTGGGCTCAACATCACTAGGAAGAGCAAAATTTAGGGTCTGCCCCACTGTAAAACAAAATTCACTTCTCAAGAAAAAAAGCAAGCTGGGCTGTGGTGCACGCCTTTAATCCCAGTGCTCGGGAGGCAGAGGCAGGCTGATCTCTATGAGTTCAAGGCCAGCCTGGTCTAAAACAGCCAGAGCTACACAGAGAAACCCTGTCTCAGAAAACCCAAAAATAAGAAAAATAAAATAAAAAGCAAATTGTTTTCTTCTGCCTACCTCAGAATGGCACTGAAGGGCTGGCTCCACCTAAGCAGGGAACTACTTTGCAAATGCCACAATGATAATGCAGCTGTTCACAAGAAGATATTTTCCCCAAGATAAAGTCACTACTGATTGTCACACAGCAGTGCCCGTGATACAGGGTCAGGGGTAATTTTAAAAAACAAAAACAAAAAACTTTGTTTCGTAGTGCCTGTGTGTGTCTGGTGTGCACGTGCCAGCATGAATTTGGAGGCAGGAGTACAACCTCTGGGAATGTGGTCTCTCCCTTACTACAGATGGGTTCCAGTGATGAAACTCAGGTTATCCCACTCAGTGGCAGCAAACACCCTTACCAACTGGGCCATCTCACAGGCCCCATGCTGGTTTGTTGGTCTTTGTTTCTTGGTGCTGGGGCATGCTATACAAACACTACCATTGAGCTCATCCTTGGCCCTGGGTCCCTGGTTTGTTAGCTAGTTGTATCATAAAAGTACAATTAAATGAGCTCTCTGCTTTGTTCCATCCCTCCTCCCCAAGTTCCCAGTTGGCTCCTCCCGGACATATATGGATACAGTGATATCTACCCATTTTATTCTTTCCAGCCACAGTCTTGCTATGTAGCCTTGGCACTCAACCATGAACATCACCCCAACAAGCCACAGCCAGCATGTACCAAATAGCAGATAGGAAACTGGCATGTTGAGAGACAGAAATGACCTGGAAGATCTACAAAGAGCCAGGAGTGGGGCAGAGGTGCCCTGGGTGGGAAGATACAGCACTCTGAGCACAGGGAAATAAAACAGTCAGGCACCCTGGAAACTTTTCGTCTGAAGCCAGCTGTCTGTGTATAGACAAACCAACCCGTTCTTGATTGGATTTGATGATCACTTTGGAAAACACGAGGTGAAGCAAAGGGAAATCACCCCTCTACCCACATTGGGGAAAAGGCAGCATCAGGGGATCTGCAGGGGAGACTGGGTTTTGGGGCCACTAATCCACAAAGGAGCGTTACCGTCAGTGTCTGAGTGGATGACGTCGACGAACTGTGCATCGCTGGGATCTAACCTGTCCTCAGGGGGTTTCCCGTTGAACAAAGGGCCCGCAGGGTCAAGACCTAAAAGAAAAGAAAAGCAGCTTGGCAGCCCCACGCCATGAATCACTGAAGCTGTCTTTGATCCCTCCCCGAGAGGATGGCTCACAGGCTGCAGGGCTGCTTGGGTGAGTAATCTCTAACATCCCATCCTGCAGTGGAGACGCAGTCCACAGCCTGTAGCTTTTTCCCACAGTGTGGACGGTTACCCTGGCAGTGGCTCTGAGAACAGCAGGCAGGCTGCAGGAGGAGGCCCAGCTGAGGAGAGCCCCGCAGGTGAGGTTAGGAGGGTGGGAAGGCTCTTTGGGAAAACCGGTCAGAGTGTGAAAGAGGGTATGTAGCTCCGGGAATTAAATCCTTATGCATGAAGCTACACCCATCTACATCCCCAGCCCTTAGTTTTTAGACAAAGTCCCATCATATAGCCGAGACCATCTTGAATTAGCTATGTAGCCCAGGCTGGATATTTGTCTGCCTCTGTCTCCTGTGTGCCTGGATTAAAAGCATTCGTCACCTCCCTGGGCTTCTCTATTTTAGGGGTTTCAGAACCCTACTCAGCTCCACTTTCGATCATTTACTGACTCATTTGAACCACATCACAAAACCAGAAGGCAGCAGGTGGCCTGTGTGATCCCATTCAAGCATCCTGGCTAGAGACTGGCTCGGCAGCACAGTCCTCTCCATCTCCATGCTCATGGTCTCTCAGCACCAAGCTGAGAAGAGCATGTCACACTACAGATGAGGCAGGTCAAATGAATCCCATAATGCCTGAACTGATTTCTTGGTCTTGCTCAGTGTTGCTGGGTTTCATTACCACAGCAATGAAACACCTGGAAAGCCAGGGGAGCCACACACGGGATTCTAGAACCACAAAATGAGAAATTAAAGAGCAGAGTGTGACAAAGGTCCCACTTACTAGAACCTGTGCCAAAGAGGGTTTCGAGGCCGTCTTCCTTGGAAGTTTAGCCCATTAGTATCATTTTATGTTTAATTTCACTTTATTCTTGTTTCAGGTGCTGAAAAGTGAAGCCCGGACCTCATGCATGCTAAGCATGTGTTCAACTACACAGCCAGTCCCTGAGGGTGTCACTTTGAGTACATCTCCCCTTCCCGTGGTCCACACACAGTCTAAGAGACAGCATCTTTGCCTCTGTTTCTTGTTTTCTTCTCTCCTGATGTCCTTGTGGTCCCTAGGAACATTTCTTCATCTACCTTCCTCCTTCCCTTACTCCTCCACCCCCAGCCTTCTTCTGTCCTCTCCAACTGAAACTGGTGTGGGAGGGTATGAGGTAACACCCAGTCACTCAAGGCCAACAGGTGGCCTCAACACAACAGCTCTCAACACAGTAGGAAAAAAACTCCACAGCCTTGGAAAGAATTTACCCAGAACCCCTCCACACCCCCATCAGTCAACACCAACCACTTACAGCCTAAAGCACAGAGTGAGCACCCTGGCTTGGAGCCTCCCGGAGATAAAACATTTAGCTTGGGGTACTAGGGACTTATAAAATGGAGGGAAGATTCTGGTCCAGAACCTGAATCCAAATTTGTAATTAAAAGTTTCTAGCAGTCATCTAAAATGTGTGTTACATACATGTGTATATGTATATTAGCCAGTGTCTGTGTGTGTGTATGTCTGTGTGCCTGTGTCTGTGTCCATGTGGAGTCCAGAGGCTGACATTGGTTTCTTCCTCCATCCCCCTCCACCTTATATATTAACTTACATATTAACATAGTGTCTCTCACTTGGACCCAATCTAGTCCAGCTTGCCGCTTACTCCGAGGATCCAATGCTGGAATTGCAGGGGAGACACAAACACAAACACACACACACACACACACACACACACACACACACACACACACACACACACACAGGGGACACAGGTGATCCAAACTTCGGCCTTTACACTTGCTTGGAAAGTGATTTTTATCTGCTGAGCTGTTGCCCAGGCTAAAATGTTTTGAAAACAAATGGGGACTTGATTTTAAGAATATGAGGAGGCTGGCTGGACAGTGGTGGGGTACACCTTTAATCCCAGCACTTAAGAGGCAGAGGTAGGTGGATCTCTGTGAGTTCAAGATCAGCCTGGTCTACAAGAGCTAGTTCCAGGACAGACTACAAAGCTACACAGAGAATCCCTGTCTCGAAAAACCAAAAAGAAAAAAGAAAAAGAAAAAAGAATATGAGGGGGCTGGAGAAATGGCTCAGAGGTTAAGAGCACTGGCTGCTCTTCCAGAGGTCCCGAGTTCAATTCCCAGCAAGTGCATGGTGGCTCACAACCATCTATAATAGAATCTGATGCCAGAGAGAGAGAAAGAGAGAGAGAGAGAGAGAGAAAGAGAGAGAGAGAGAGAGAGAGAGAGAGAGAGAGTGCTGATCTTCTAGAGGGCCCAGGTTCAGCTTCCAGCACACAACCAGGGGATCTGATGCCCTCATCTGCCCTCTGAAGGTACCCACACATACATGGCACTGGAGCACACACACGATGTAAAACTAAATCTTTTTCTTTTTTTAACAAAAGAATATAAGGCTGGAGATATATCTCAGATCATAGAGTGCTTACTTTACACGTAGTGATGCCCGGGGTTCAATTTCCAGCATGAAAAATATTAAATTTAAAAATTTAAATTTTAGCTGGGTATGGTGGTATATGCTTTTAATCCCAAGCTTGTGAGGTAGAGGCAGGTGGATCTCTCTGAGTTCGAGGCTAGATTGGTCTACAGAGTGAGTTCCAGGACAGCCAAGGGATACACAGGGAAACCCAGTCTTGAAAAACAAAAAAAGAAAAAAGAAAGAAAGAAAGAAAAAGAAATAATAAACCAGACATAGGAGAATTTAAGAGGGTAAGACAGGAATATGTCAGATTCAACGCCAGCTTGGGTGTACAAGTGAGATCAAACCTGGGCTACAGAGGCGTATCCTCTCAAGAAGACAAAAAGTGGCTGAAGGCATGTGCCACTGAGCCCAATAGCCTGAGTTCAACCCCAGGACCTATGCAATGTAGGAGACCTGACTCCATAAATTGTTCTCTGTCTTTTTGTTTTGTTTTGTTTTGTTTTTGTTTTGTTTTGTTTTTCGAGACAGGGTTTCTCTGTGGCTTTGGAGGCTGTCCTGGAACTAGCTCTTGTAGACCAGGCTGGTCTCGAACTCACGGAGATCTGCCTGCCTCTGCCTCCCAAGTGCTGGGATTAAAGGCATGCGCCACCAACACCCAGCTGTTCTCTGTCTTTTACATGCATGCTGTGCTGCCCACACACATATACACAAGCAAAATATATAGAACATAAAAAACAAATATTTTATATGCTTATAATTAAAACCAGTTAATATTTTAAATAAATATAACAATAAATTAAATACTCATGTCTTTTAAATACAAAATAGAAAACATTGTTTAAAAATTAAAAATAATAGACAAAACAAAATCAATCAGGTATGGTAGATCATACTTGTAACCCCAGCGTTTAGGAGACTGAGGCAGGAGGATTGCCATTAACTTAAGGGCAGCCTGAGCTTAGTGTGAGTTTCTAGGCTAGCCTGGGCTGAAGAGAGAAACCTTGTCTCAACAGAACAAAACAAACAAAAATAATGCATCTTGCTTAACCCGGTATATCTAAAATTTGTCATGTCAGTGTAATCAATATTAAATGTGAGATTTGTTTTGTTTTTGTTTTTTTTCTGAACCTTAGACTTCAAAAGCCAGAGCATATTCTGCACCTATAGCCATCTCAGTTTGCACTGGCGGCAGTCACAGTGACTACATGTGACTGACTAATGGCTACCATGTTGTTCCTCGAAGGGTGGTGGTCAGACCACCTGCATCTGCTGGTTGAAAATACAGACTCCTGATCTTGGAAGCAACTCACGGCAGAGCCTGGGCCTGGCATACATAAGACTCAGGATTCATCCCAGCACCAAAGGAATGAATGAATGAATGAATGAATGAATGAATGAATCCAATGAGAAGTCAAATGGAGAAATACGCCTGGAGAAGAGGAGCATAAGAAAGGAAAATGGTAAAGACAGCAGGGTGAAGGACCAGGCAGGGGCCAGGCCGACCTATCCTTGTCTCAGAAAATAATACTTGGGTGACAGATCACATTCCCACCCTGTGCTCCAGTGAGCACACCCAAGCAAGGACTCTGAGACAGAGAATTCTGAGACAGCTGGGACTAAACCTGAGGCCCAGGGGTGATGAGAACTGGGGCATCATGGAGGTAGAAAATAGACTTGTGAGCCAGAAGTTGAGTCCAGTCACAGGGACAGTCACATGGGCCTAGAGTAGCAGAAAGCCTGTCTTGGGGAATTTCCATAATCGGACGCTAGGTACACTGAAGGTCACGGTAGTCAGGAGAACGGATGTGTCAAGAGGCACAGGAGAAAGCATGGTGCTTGGGTAGAACGAAACGTTTGGCTGAAGGGTAGATTTGACCCATTTCTTTCTAGCTCTGTGATCAGTGACATCAAGTTGGCAGTTTGAGATTAGTCACTACCAAAGAAATCAGCACAGAAACCAGCAATTGCTATAAGCCAACACCCCCCACACACACACACATTGCACCCCTTCTACACAGCATTGGAAAGAAACAGTCCCATCTACCAGAAAAGAAACTCCTAGAGAGTGAGGCAAACCCAAGCCAGCTAACCTTTCAAAGTATGAGGACTCTCCCTCTCCCTCTCCCTCCCCCCTCTCTCTTGTAAAGACACATTGCTTTTAAAAATACAGTAACAATACATTCTAAACTTTAAAACTACTTTGTTTCCCTAGGAAAATCTGTAAATTAGGCGATCCAGATAGCCTTGGCCTTTGGGGAAAGTGAGGGGGAAACAAACTTCCAAGACAATGGGGTGGGAGAGGTGAGGTTATCCCCAAATATATGTTTTGAGTCATTTACATTTCCTCTCTTCCCATACATGTCCCTAGATTTAAAACCCAGCCTGGGAACGTTTCCTGGAAAAGGTGAACGGTAAGTTCCTGCAAGCTGGGGCTGCCCTCAGCTCTGTGAGTAGCTGTGGAAAATTCCTAAGCTCCAGGCAAGAGGTCCAGAAAGGGGATCTTTGTCCTTTAGGGTTTGACCTGTTGAAGTTTGGAGTGCTTTCATTCCAAATTCGCTAGAAAGCTGACATTTAGACAGTCAGCTGCCGAAATTTCCGTCTCCTTTCCCTTCCAAGAGTCTCCAGCCATGCCTGGTGAGTGTAGTTGAAGTCACCAGAATTAACCCAAGGGGAGGTGGCTCTCTGGGCAGAGATCAAATCCCCTTGGGATATTGGGGTGGAGGAGGCATTACCATATGAGAAATAAAGTGAGAACCAAGCTTTTCTGGGACATACACAATTTACAAAATGTGCTACATATTTGTAATTAAGTCACAGACTGAGGTTAGTATTATCTGGACTTCCCTTTCACATGAAAGGGTCCACAATCGGAGGTTCCCTACCTGGGAGAGCTTGCTTCAAACTCAAGGAGTAGGTTGTCTGTTCTCTGGAGAACAGCTGCCCAGGTGAGACCCTGGTCACTGATGCGAATCTTACCTGTGATTCTCCCCAGCTTCCCAGCATACATTTCTCCAACAAATCCAGCTATGTGTGCTCCTAGACTCACTCCAATAATATAAACGTCATCCAGAGATGCTCCTTTAGCCTAGAATTCCATGAACAAATTGTGAGAGTTCAAGGAGTTGACCACACTTGCAGAGATTTCCTAGCTGTTTGCTTTGGAGGAATATTCTTAAGTACTTTGTATCTATTGTCTCACTGGGCTTTTTTGTGAACCAGCGTGCATGCACATCTATGCACTTACACGTGGAGTCCAGAGGTCAAAAAGTCACATGTTGGGCTACAGAGATGGCTCAGTGGTTGAGAACATGTGTTGCTCTTGCAGAGGAGCCAGGTTCAAGTCTTAGCACCCAAACAGCAGCTCACATTGTATGTAACTCAGTTCTAGGGATCTGATGCCTCCTGACTTCTTTAGGCACCAGACACACACATTATGTACGTGTGTGTGTGTGTGTGTGTGTGTGTGTGTGTGTGTGTGTACATACATTTGTTTTTTTAAGAGAATAAATAAATCTTCCCTTTTAAGTTAGATGTCTCCCTCAATTGCTCCCCACCTTATTTTTTGAGGCAGAAGTTCTCACTGAACCTGGAATTAGCTGACTTGGTTAGACTAGCCATCAAGCCTTAGGGATTCTCCTCTCTCCCCTTCCCAGGATCTAGGATTACAGGCATGCATTCACTGTGCCCAGATTTTTCATATAGGTTCTGGGGGTTGAACTCAGGTCTTCTTATTTGCACACCAACTGAGCCAACTCCTTAGCTCCTATAGTCTCATTTAAATGTCACAAGAGGGCTGGAGAAGTGGCTCAGTGCTAAGTGGCTCGCCTCATATGTTTTAAGCCTTAGGTTCAATCCCCAGCATGGCAGAAAAAGAGGGACCATTACAGCATACTGCAATGTCGACTCTGCTTCTTCAATGCACAAATGAGGAAACTGAAGCTCAGAGTTGAAGTCATCTGGCCCAAGTAAAGCATTTTTTTTTTGGGGGGGGGGTTGCAGAGCAGGAATCAAACCAGCCTAACCCCAAATGTGTGTCTTTCGGGTCCCCATCCATTCCTGACTCTGCTGGTTGTCAAGCAGGGACATCTTTAGGGATTCCAGATTGGAGAGGGGATGATATTGTATTTTGATGAACTCCTTATGGAGTCACCATCTCAAGGAAAGAAAGAGTGGGGAAGGGGAGACTACACTGACGACAGGCTGGCTGAGCAGCTTGCTCTGAGCCACCCAAATATTACCTGCCTGCTGAGGAGCTTATATACAGCTCATGTCACCACCAGCCACAGTAGTCACCACATGGGAGTCTCTTTGAATTGCTCTGACTTCGTGTAATGTTTTTGTTATAAAAAAAAAAAAAGGCGTGGGTGGGAGGTGGGGGGTGGCGACGACATGTCTTTAATCCCAGCACTCGGGAGGCAGAGGCAGGTGGGTGGATCTCTGTGAGTTCAAGGCCAGTCTAGTCTACAGAGTGAGTGTCAGAATAGGCTCCAAAGCTACACAGAGAAACCCTGTCTTGAAAAACCAAAAAAAAAAAAAAAAAAAAAAAAAAAAAGTGGGGTGGGCAGCTCATGAGATTACTCATTGAATAAAAGCCAAGGCCCTGCCTTGAGAGGTCTTCTAATGTTGACTGTCACTGTACCACATGCTTTCATTGTGCTTTGGAATAATCTGGACATTAGTCTTTTGGCTATGGAGGTCCAGGCATTTAAACCAAGAATTCTAGGCAGAGCCTCTCCTACTCAAAGACACCTTCATGGTAGCTGCAAGATGAAACTCCTTAACACAAGACTTTTTGTCATTATCTATGGAAGTTTGTGCGGGCATGAAATCTACATTTACAACGATTTTGCCCCATACACCTTCTTGTGAGATAGACGGAGCCACACTCCCTTTCCTGGGTTAACTCAGATTTGCACAATGTTGAAAAACTAAAAATAGCCCCCCACCATCCAACCAGGTGATGATGCCTGGTGGCTTTAAGCTTCCAAACAAGCAGCCAGAGTCATAAAAGAGGTGTCTATCTTACCAACATCTGATCGATAAATTCCTTCAAAATCAGAGCTACTTTTCGGGTCTTGCCAGAGGCGTGGGTGTATATCACAGTCGTCGCTCCTCGATTCCAATCAACAACCACCACGTTCATCTCTTGTACATTGAGCAAACTCTGTACCAACTCCTCCATCCACACTGGAGGGGAGCCTGTCGGCCGAAAGCCATGGATAATGAAGGTAGTTTTCTTGGTCACATTTAAGCTCCCCAGAGCTGTGGAGTTGATGAGTTGTGCACAGGTCTGGTTTCTCTGTGTGTAGAGCATCAGTCTCACATTTAGTCCTGTGCCAACCACTGCACTGTGGAAGCTCAGTCTGGTGAAGGACGGGCATGTTTCATCTGTATCTGGAAATAAGAATTAGACGGCATCACGTAGCGCCTTCTGAGCAGGGCATCACTCCTTGGAGCTCTTATATTCCTCACAGCACCTTGCAAAACCCTAGATCTATCAACATGAAGTGGAAAAGTCATACTTAATCCAGTATTTCTAAGTCAGGATCCCTGGTTTCTCCAGACTCTTTCAAGGTCAAAACCACAAGTTAGCTCAATGAAGCCTTCTGCAACCCTCCCAGCCATAAGCTGTCCTCACTCCCCTACTCCCTAAGCACCTGTGTGTGCCTCACAAACAGCACTTAGCATCCCTTTCAGGATGTATTCCGGGTGTTGTGCATGAGTATGTCTGTCCTGTGAGACCCCATTCTCCTTGAATGGTAATTTCTAACCCGTGTGTCCTCAGGTAGACAGAACACAGCAGAAGAGTCATCAACTGAGACTCCATGGTCTCTTGTGCCCCACCCTCAACTGGGACACTTGTGTGTGCCCTGCCCTGAGCACCTGAAACTGCAGGCCATGACAGCTGGTGCTGAGCCCTTTTCTTCTCAGCTCCTCAAGCTCTCCTGTCAAGCCTTTCGCCCTACAGAACAGCCTTGGAAGGAAGTTGGACTCAAGGAAGACAAAGCACAAACCTGGAAGATCTTTTTGTTGTTGTTTGAGACAGGAACTTAATATGAAATCCAGGCTGGCTTCAGACTTACTACGTAGCCCAATGTAGCCTAATTTGCAGTCCTCCTATCTCACCCTCCTAAGAACTGGGATTGTAGCTGTGCCCTACCACGCCTGACCTGGAGCATCTCTCTGGGAATGTCACTCAGTAGCAAAGTGCTTGAAGACTGCTTTCTTTCAGTTGCTAGGGAATAGTTAGTAACGATATAGTGGAGGAACTGGGCAAGGCCCGGCTTAGTCACTACTCTGTGGTACTGCAGAAGGGCTGGTGACGTTTATGTGCCAGTAAGTACAGAGGGCAGAGGTCACAGTGATGACGTTCCAGTGCTGACACTGGACCTGGAACCCAACTGTGATAAGGAAACTGATAAATATAAAATGAGAAACATGATCTGTCTTCCTGACAAAAGATCACTATAATAAATAGTGTAGGAGGGTTTTGAGAATGTTGTAGCTTAAAGGAGTCCAGAGACAGGATAAATTAGTGCATTACCTTGCCCTGGGGTAGGTCTTGTTGTAGAAAGAAAAATGCAATAAAATAAAGTCAGTTGGAAAATTGGTATCTAGACAATCAGGTAAAAGTGTGGCCTCAGTTTTTAATTCATGGAGACAGATAGTCATTGTGTGGTTCTGATTAAGAATGGCTCCCATAGGCTCATACATTTGAATGCTTAGTCATCGGGAGTGATACTTGCAGGAATTTAGCAGAGTTGCTGTAACTTGGGTAGACAGTAGAGTGAATAGTTGTTTTCTAAAAATACTTTGATCCTGAAAAATCATTGTGGAAAGCAGTAAAGAATCTTTGTGGAAAACAGTGATTGTTTTCCATGATTTCCAGAATTGTTTTTCTGAAGGGGCATTTTAGCCTTCGAATGACTCAAGTCATAAGATGCCTCTGGCACACCTGAGGCTCTTAGATTATTATATACTGCAAACGATACACAGTAAAGGACTAAAGTCATGAGGGCATGTGATGCTTTCCTTTAGAGAGACAGATAGATTAGATTAGGGACCTTGGTATGAGGAAATGCTTTAGCCAAAAAAAAAAAAAAAAAAAAAAAAAAAAAAAAAAAAAAATTTTTTTTTAAAAAAAAAAAAAATTTGCAACAATCAATAAATACGCCTTCGTATGGCTGTTCAGAGTTCGGTTCATCAGGGGCTAGACCTTCCTGCTGCCACAGAGGCCTTAAAATTCATCTTGGAGTGACTTCTTGATTCAACCAACCCACGAAACACAGAACACCCCTACAGACAGATTTGAGAAGAGATTAGGAGGTGTGGCCTTGTTGGGATGGGTGTGGCCTTGTTGAAGGCAGTGTGCTACTAGGGATGAGCTTGGAAGTTTCAAAGCCCACACTCAGCCCAGTATTCTCTCTCTCTCTCTCTCTCTCTCTCTCTCTCTCTCTCTC